CGCGACCCTCACCAGGACACGCGGACTGATAAACGAAGGAACGTTCAGAGTATTTGGCTGGTATACATTTCCACGTCATAAGCCAATTCGTAGGGCTATCATTTGTGGCCAGGTTCGTTTCTTGCAACAACAAAAAAGCCACATAGCTCAGTGGGCCTTACCTGGTAAAATAAAGTTTTAGTTTAAGTCTGTGCCCTCGGCGGCGGCCCATTATTTAATTATTTTCACGTAGAAAGCCGGGGTGGTTTAACTGAATTTAAAGATGCTGTGATGTGCCGTCAGCTGACATGTGTGGCACAGAAAATCCTCTGGGCTGTCTTCTGACCTCACAAGGGTGTTTATCAGTCGACAATATCCAGCTTGTACACATTCCCGCCACAAGAGTTACAACTTGAATAAGACATCCCGAGTTATCTTCCGAAACGATCTGTGTATACAAGCACTTTAGACTGCACATTAGACGGCAGTCAAGAGGTTTGCACACCATTATCTGCATCAATGATTGGCATGCGAGGCACTCCCAAAGAGGAATGCACATCCATAAGTCCCCTACATAATGAATCGGTAAATCCGTCACCAATAAATGCGCTGATAAAAAAGCAGTCAAGACAACTCAATAATCAATATCGGCGGGCACGGCACGCCATATTGGTGGACATGAAACACATTAAGATACGATGGATTAATGCTCCTACACTGAATACAGTCGTGACGATTCCTTGCGTAATTTATTTAGAACCACAATGCACACAGCTGGTTTAGCGCACACGTAAACTTCAATCACACGGTCGCCTCCTGGGGAGGAGGTCACGGAGTACACAAACCCCCCCACCCCCCACCAAAACGTCGCAAACATTGTTCCCTCCACGTTAAAGTCTTATTTTTTTTGTTTATTCCAAGCACGGAAGTGAATTAATTATACCCTACATAATTTAATCCGTATGGACCGTGCATTTTAATTGCGGTACACGACAAGGTCACTATCGGTGATACTTTATTTACGCGAGGGGGGGAAAAAAACCCAACAAAGGCCAATAAAAGTGTTGGCGATATAATTAGAATTGGGGACTTAACGCAATTAACATGTTCAGCCCCGCTTAGAATATGTAGCAACAGCCGCTAATTAATGTTAATTGGCTCGCTGCGTGCATTCAAGGTCCAGATGTTTGTGCTTCCAAGGGCTTTTATCCCAGAGACAAACTCCCCCACCACCCCACGAAGAGACGACGACGATCCATGGCAACCCAAAGTCCACCGCGTGCCTCTCTCTCTCAGCTTTTGCAACAACAACAACAAAACACCAAACAAGAGCCAGCCACGGGTGTGGGTGGCAATGTGAAGATGCCTCGGATCGTTTTAAGAACGTCCAAGGCTGTCCTGGGTTTCCTTATCGGATTAGTTGTGTACAGAAGAATAAAATCGAAGCACAGCAGCGTGGGTGACAATGTTTTAACGTATTGGCGCGATGGCTATGTCTCATTGACCCACGAGGAGCAACTAATGTTAGTTATTATTTTTTTGCCAAATAAACAAACGCTTGGCCAAGAAGTTATCAGCCACGGGAATGTTGTTTTTGTTACTTGAGAGCGCAGAATAGAAACGCAACGTAGAGGGAACGTTACATTTTTTGGCGTCTCGGCATAAGACCCCCCCCCCCCGGGAACTACAGAGTAGTCACAAGCATCGCAAAGTTGCCGCCTTTAATTTCCGTGGACAGACGTCCAGAACTTCGGCACTAACTTAACGGTACGCTCTTTTTTGTTGTTGCGCGATCCCAAAAAAAAAACCGTCCGAGCCGTGGGCACAAGACACCAACAAACATCATCCCGTGTGTTTGTTGCCTTCTTTGTGAACAACACCGAGTGAGTGGCTAGGGCCGTGAGCAAGCACCCGAGGGGTCAACACCAACAGCAGCAGTCACACTGCACACGTGCGTAAATCGACTGAAAAATGCAACTTTGTGGAAAACGCGACTTACAAAACGCCACACAAAAAAAAAACCTTTTGGGTGGGTACACGTGGGCCATTGCATACACGACAGAATCGTGGGCGCGGTGATGCGGGTTTATAAATCATTCTCATCGTGGGCTATTGTTTATCTGTTGAGTCGCGACTCGTAGAGGAGGTTTCGACGTCGTTTGGTTGAGAGAGCAAGGAGGCGTGCTCTCTTCCATCCACCTCGTCGTTAGGGTATTCTCCGTGGGTTATAAGCCGGTTACGGGGAAAAAAAAGTCTCGCTCGCCTCCAAACTTATGCCCTGTGTCAATAAGTTATATAAAAAACAAAGATCCCCCGTGTAGCCTTAACTGACTGTAGGGGCAAGTGCTGTTAGCGAGCACCTATGAAGGCCGGAACGGTACACGAGGGGGTGGGTGGCCAGCACCACGCCCGACCGCCTTTGTGTCCCAAGTGGCAATGTTTACTACACACCGCACCAGGTACTCATTTGAGGCTGAGTCGACCTAGGGGAGGTCCGGGACCGGTTCGGATAATCGTCACCGGTGGTGTTGGCCGTGAGCGTGAATCGAACCCGGGTCGCCAGGTTCGTAGCGCAGCGTAGCGCTGACCGCTACACAAGTTACACAACTCATCTGATCACACGCATCTACTGCCGAATTATAATTTTTTTTAAAAAGTACCTACCGGATTGTAAGACGCAACTAATCAGATTCTAAGACGCACTTCCATCCTAAACATGTTTTTTTTTATTGAAACACATGGGAGATGCCGGTATGGCTGAACAACACCCTCCACACGAGAGTGAGTGTGTGTGTACCACGACTACATTACGTGCCACCGTCCTTGCTGTTTGCTCTACACCGAGCGCACTGCTTTGAAGTGCATCCACACTCCCCTCCACGACCCACACTTTCGTCTCACACTTTAAAAAAAAGATTCGCACAGCGGAGCAGAAAAGACAAGCTTTGAACTTCTTTGAGAGGTCTACTATACAGGGTTATCCATTTGTAGATTGCCCACCCACCCACTCACCCACCACGCTTACGGATAAATTAAAGAGGCAAATACCGATCCCATTTGAAAGCCTCTCGTCGGTAACGTCTCCCACCAATGTTCGAGACGCAACAAACTCCGGATCGCTCACGGTTGTACAACCTCTGCAGCAGAGACATGACGGGAAAACGTCATCGCGTTCACAACACTCAATCGTCTCGCTGGAGAGATGGGAAAGCGGGGGGTGGGGGGGGGGGGTCATTGACATCGGTGCGGTATCCACAAGTGGATCAACCTCGTAGTTGGATGGGGGGGGGGGATCGAGGGATGGGGGGGGGGATCGAGGGATGGGGGGGGGATCGAGGGACGGGGGGGGGATCGAGGGACGGGGGGGGGGATCGAGGGACGGGGGGGGGGATCGAGGGACGGGGGGGGGGATCGAGGGATGGGGGGGGGTCGAGGGATGGGGGGGATCGAGGGATGGGGGGGGATCGAGGGATGGGGGGGCGGATCGAGGGATGGGGGGGGATCGAGGGGCGGGGATCGAGGGATGGGGGGGGGGGATCGAGGGGGGGGATCGAGGGGCGGGGGGGAGAGCCCGGACTCTAAGATCGCGAATGGCGAGGGCGCTGGGAAATCCACGTGCTGCTGGCTGCTGCTGCTGCACGCGCGCCACGCAAAGTCGACACGGCCTGTCGAGAGGCAACATCGACGGCACGACCACTAAACACGGGTGGTGTGGCAGGTAGGGGGGGTGGTGTGGCAGGGGGGGGTGGTGTGGCAGGGGGGGGGGGTGGTGTGGCAGGGGGGGTGGTGTGGCAGGGGGGGTGGTGTGGCAGGGGGGGGGATAAACCACGCGCGGCCGTCTTTGTCTCCCCCGCCGATGCTGCTGTTGTACACACGCGGCACCGCAGGAACGATGTCAGGGTTGATACAAAGACAAAGATCGACCCCCGCCTACCCCCACACTCGCGTAGCCCGCGACAAACTTGTTGGGGGCACGTGCTGTTCGCGAACACCTCTGAAGGCCGACGCGGCGCACGAGGGCTTGGGGCGAGGCAGGAAAACGCGACGAGCGGCCGCCTTTGTCTTCCTTCCCAATGTCCATTGTGCAACACTCCCGCACGAGGCGACGACGATTCAAGGCCGATTGACGCGCGAGCACAACACACACGTACACACTCTCACAAGCACACACACACGTACACACTCTCACAAGCACACACACACACGTACACACTCTCACAAGCACACACACACACGTACACACTCTCACAAGCACACACACACACGTACACACTCTCACAAGCACACACACACACGTACACACAAGCACACACACACACGTACACACTCTCACAAGCACACACACACACACGTACACACTCTCACAAGCACACACACACACGTACACACAAGCACACACACACACGTACACACTCTCACAAGCACACACACACACGTACACACTCTCACAAGCACACACACACACGTACACACTCTCACAAGCACACACACACACGTACACACTCTCACAAGCACACACACACACGTACACACTCTCACAAGCACACACACACACGTACACACTCTCACAAGCACACACACACACGTACACACTCTCACAAGCACACACACACACGTACACACTCTCACAAGCAAACTCACACACCTACACACTCTCACAAGCACACACACACACGTACACACTCTCACAAGCACACTCACACGTACACACTCTCACAAGCACACACACACACGTACACACAAGCACACACACGTACACACTCTCACAAGCACACACACGTACACACAAGCACACACACAAGCACACACACGTACACACAAGCACACACACGAGTACACACTCTCACAAGCACACACACACGTACACACTCTCACAAGCACACACACGTACACACAAGCACACACACACAAGCACACACTCACAAGCACTCACAAGAACACACAAGCACACACACAAACACACACACAAACACACACACAAGCACACACACAAGCACACACACACAAGTACACACACGTACTGACTGCACTTAGAAGGGTCGCCGGGCAGACGATGGAGGAGGGAGCCGGGTAGCTGCGTCGCCTCTCGCCATGGACCGCGCGGCGCTCACTGAGCCGGGGTCCTTCCCGGCCTCGGGAGCGGTGACGCCGCCCCCCCCCCCCCCCCCGGGGGTCCGGGAGTGCCACTCGGAGACCGCCTCCCTCCCACTCTCCCCACCCTTCCCCCCACTCTCCCCACCCTTCCCCCCACTCTCCCCACCCTTCCCCCCACTCTCCCCACCCTTCCCCCCACTCTCCCCACCCTTCCCCCCACTCTCCTCCCCACCCTTCCCCCCCACTCTCCTCCCCACCCTTCCCCCCCACCCTACCCCCCACTCTCCCCACCCTTCCCCCCACTCTCCCCACCCTTCCCCCCACTCTCCCCACCCTTCCCCCCACCCTTCCCCCCACTCTCCCCACCCTTCCCCCCACTCTCCCTACCCTTCCCCCCACTCTCCCCACCCTTCCCCCCACTCTCCCCACCCTTCCCCCCACTCTCCTCACCCTTCCCCCCACTCTCCCCACCCTTCCCCCCACCCTTCCCCCCACTCTCCCACCCTTCCCCCCACTCTCCCCACCCTTCCCCCCACTCTCCCCACCCTTCCCCCCACTCTCCCCACCCTTCCCCCCACTCTCCCCACCCTCCCCCTCACTCTCCCCACCCTTCCCCCCACCCTTCCCCCCACTCTTCCCCCCACTCTCCCCACCCTTCCCCCCACTCTCCCCACCCTTCCCACTCCCCTCCACCCCCCACTCCACCGTATTCTCGGGGTTTTAAGACGCTCCGGAAAGTGAGAAGCAACCCCAAAGATCTCACCCATCCTCCCCCCCACCCCCAACACACATTCAAGACTCCTGCCGTCACTGTCTGCTGCCTGCATTTTTACTTTATTTATTTTGGGACTAAACTTTTGTCATCTCTTAAAAATAAAGGGATCGGAAGCCGGTTGGAGAAGTTTCGATGAAGCCACAACATTAGCTAGCGTGGTGAACATTGTTATATATTCTTTTATACCGAGAACAAAGCTCATAGGGGAGTAGTAACATCGACCATGGTACCGGCTTCCTTCTGGCCAGAACGAGCCATTAACTCGACTTGTATGCCGACATTTACTCGAGAAGGTGAACTTTCTTATCTTGAGATGTACATAAAGACAAAGGCCCCCCCCCCCAGGTATATCCGACGCAAAGTTTATTGGAGCAAGTTCTATTCGCGAGTAGCCACCGATGAAGACCGACACAGCACACAAAGGGGGGGGTGGGGAGGGGGCACATCACCACCACGCCCTGTCGCCTTTGTCTGCCCAGTGGCGATGTTTACACAACGCGCCAGGTACTCATTTGTGGCTTTTGTCGAACTCGGCGAGGCCCAGGACCGGTGGGAATTGTCGACACTTATTCGGTCGTGAGCAGAAATGTTTTCCTAACTCGGGTTGCCCGGGGTTCGTAGGGCAGTGGACTGCTGACTTCACCACTGCACTGGCACTTCCGACAAAGGCGAGACAAATAATTACACTATGTAAGGGGGCGTCCATAAATGACGTCACGCACCTATGGGGTGGGGTCAGACATTTGTGACGATGTGTGACGAGGGAGGGGGGGGGTTGAGAAATGTGACGTTACATCAAAATGCGCAACTATAAATATAGGCAACACGTTCTACTTAATTAAATATACTTTTTAATAAATGTTTTCTCCTACAACATCAGAGTGCAGCGTCACATTCAATACGCACTACAATGGCAATAGTTTAAAGCGATTTGAAGTATGTTTTATTTGGGGGGGGGGGGGCAGAGCTTTGTGACGTCATATTTGAGGGGGGGTCTGACTTTTTGTGACGCCGTGTGACGAGGGGGGGGGGTCAAAAATCGTCAAAAATCGCGTGACGTCATTTATGGACGGCCCCGAAAACAATTTTTGCTCCTGGGTACAAAGTGTTATTTTTTATTGCTTATGCCTAAAAAGTATAGAAAATGGTTATTATTCCACACAAATGTTGCTTTTGTGACCAGGCCTTTATGTGAACGAAAGACACAAATGCATATGTTTTCTCATTGAAAATAGGTAAATTTTAAAATATCACTGTCCTAACCATACTCTTTGGTTATTTCGGTAAAGTCACGGAGGTAGAGGGAAAACTCTCTCTCCCATCTGAAGACGATTGCTTGCGTGGCGATCGATACTTCGTGATCTATTATTTTTTCTACCTACGTGACTTTACCGAAAGAACCAAAGAGTATGGATTCCTGCTGTCACGAAAGCTTCAAATCAAGAATAATAGCCGTTTTTGAGGCATAAGCAATTTGGAAATAACACTTACTACCCAGGAACAGAATTTTTTTGTGACACAGTGTTATTAATGGAGTGGATTATTAACTTTGCTTTTGTGTCCTGGTCACAAAAGCAAAGTTTGTGGGGAAATAATAGCCATTTGATGTACTTTTGAGGCATAAGTAATTAGGAAATAACACTTACTACCCAGGAACAGAAATGTTTTGTGACACAGTGTTATTAATAGAGTGGATTATGAACTTTGCTTTTGTGTCCTGGTCACAAAAGCAAAGTTTGTGGGGAAAAATAATAGCCCTTTGATGTACTTTTGAGGCATAAGCAATTCGGAAATAACACTTACTACCCAGGAACAAAATGTGTTTTTTTTATATATATGTAAGTGTTATCATTCCCCTTACAGTCGTTACAGCGTTTTGGGGGGGGGGGGGCAAGTGCTGTTAGCGAGCACCATGTGAAGACAACACACAAGGGGGTGGATGGTCAGCAACATGCCCGTACACACACAAACACACACAGATGACCCCCCCCCCCCCCTATTAATGAGCTGTACAAACGACAGCCTGTCGGCCAATTACAGCCGCCTACTTATTTAATCCGACTCTTGGAATCGTTAAAACTTACCATTAAATACATCCCGCTGCGGCTGTGCGTTAAAATAGTAAAGTTCGCACACTAACGTGTGAAGCAAATTGACGTTCTTGGTTATGGTGCAGTGATCTTCCCTCGTCATTAGTGGGGATAGGCACGTGCTTCACGTACAGCTCCTCATGCAGCCACAGCCACGGCGATGATAGTGTGGTGCCACTCTTGGTTATTTGTGAGTTATGTTCACGATGTTACTGATGGTGGCGGTGTTGAGGATGATGATCACGATAATTGATGACAGACTGATTGATGGTGGTGATAAGCAATGGCAGAGCCAGGATTTTCAGGTAGAGGGCGGGCAACCCCTCCAGCAATGAAAAATGATAGAGGAGTTGTTAGTAAATAAGGAGTTGTTAGTAAGTAAGGACTTTTTATTCGACGCGTGTGCGGCGATGGCGCAGCCATCGATCGAAGGTCGAATTCGAACCGCGTTGTGTGATCGGCATCATGCTCGCTGAAGGTGATTGCCTTCAGGGAAGTCGTGTACTGAATACGCAACTGCGCACAATTCTGAGTCGCTTATAACTGCTTTGCCGTTTCTTATTGCAAATTATGGACTCAGCCTATTGTCCTATCATCTCATAGAGTCCCTGGCACATAATAATATGCTACACAGTGACAGTGGGGGTCGCAAAATGCCGATTTATTACTAATTAACCCAAATGATCCGATCGAAATTAGGGATTTCCGATCGAAATTAGGGATTTCCGATCAAAATTAGGGATTTTGATCGGATCATTGGGGGGGCACGTGCCACCCCACTGGCTCCGCCAGTGTTGATAGGGCTGATTATGGTGATAGGCATTGGCCGATACTCGACATTCATCGTCATTGGCTAACGATGATGGTGGCAGTACTGATAGAAGTGATGGAAATGGTGGTTGGTGAGGATAGCGACGATGATGATGGTTCATACGATAGTCGTGATGAGTGTTACGATAATAGTTGTAGTGTCGATGAGTATAGTAGAGCACTGTCGTGATGTCCACGCAATTCTCGCCAACTGGTTCATTACAGACACACCAATTATTGCTCTTTGCAATGAATTGTCCCCTTTAGAACCCCGCGACGTCACCTCGTGAAGCAGGGCTGGCCCCAACCGTAGCTCACGAGCCACGTGCACTCCCGGCAACTCGAGGGCAGCTTCATAGAAATTCAGCTCATTTGTAACGTTTCATTACGACTGCAAGTGAAACAGGTCAATTCTGCATTAGACGGGGGGGGGGGGGGGGCGGCCCAAGGCACTCGCCCCGAGCAGCATAGACAGACGATGAGTACTCCCGGGGTGAGAGGTCGAATTTTGAAATTCAAATTCCACAGCCAACCAGGAGTGGCAAAGTTGGTGTTATAACTTGTGGCTCCCGACCATATGAAGACGTCATTATGCAGCTTGCGGGTTCAGCAAGTTTAGCCACCCCGTTTAATGAGCACCTATTTGTGCAAGTAGCCTTTGAATCCTCAGTTAATTGTGTTTTGCACAAAGCACATGGTACTAATTTTAGGCTGAGTCGACGTTAAGTAAGGCACAGTATAACTTCTATTCTTTGGTTCTTTCGGTGAAATCATGTAGATAGAAAAAATAATAATAAATCAAGTGAATAAAAATAAAATAATAATAAAAACACTAATGTAGACTGCAGCCTGGTACTTAATCGGAGTGAGCGTATTGGCAGTCTATAATGTAGACTGTAGCCTGATTCTTAACCTGAGTGAGTGCACTGGCAGTCTATAATGTAGACTTATTCTGGTTCTTTCAGTAATACAAATAAAGTAAGAATACAACTAAAAATAAAAACAAAAACCACGACGTTTCGATCGCAACACATGCGGTCGTCATCAGGAAAAGGGGGGTTAGCCTCTAGAGGCAAACTGTTTTAAAGGTTTAGAGAGGTTTAGATATAAAATAGAGATAGATCTCTAAACCTTTACAAACAGTTTGCCTTTAGAGGCTAACCCCCCTTTTCCTGATGACGACCGCATGTGTTGCGATCGAAACGTCGTGGTTTTTGTTTTTATTTTCTATTCTTATTTTAATTTTATTTTTATTACTGAAAGAACCAGAATAAGTGTACATTATAGACTGCCAGTGCGCTCATTCAGGTTAAGAACCAGGCTACAGTCTACATGATAGACTTCCAGTACGCTCACCGAGGTTAAGAACCAGGCTACAGTCTACATTG